GCCGTCCTTTTGGGAGTCACCAAAACTATTACTGAACAAAAAGAAAAACAAACCAAGGTTTGGCTGCCTGTTGCCACAAAAGCCAAACTTGTGAGGCAGGTGGTGGTGCAAAAGAAAAGTTCTTCAGGTGACACACAGCCTAGGAAATAGTGGATTCCTGTCTCAAAGGTCATCTTAATCTTCCTGCTCAAGCCCCCAGTTCTTACAGGGAAGGGGGATTGTTTTTTTTCCCCTCTTAATCCATTTATCTTTTTAGCTGGTGCTTGGGTCCTGTCCAATCCTGTTTCTAGCTTTAAGCCTGCTCAGTGTAAGAACCTCCCCCTGCCATCCTGGCCAAAGGGCAGAGACTCCCCTGGTGCTCAGACTAACTGTTTTATGATAACGATAGAGCAGTAATGGGAAAATACAGGAGAGTAATGTCAAGGATCACTTCTTGGAAAAAGAAGCATCTTCATTGTCCTGGACACTGTGGCTCAGATTGTTGGGTTTTGTATCACAAAGCGAGGGTCAACAGTTCAATTCCCCATTAATGCAAATGCCTGGGCTGCAGATTCCAAGAGATGTTTCTCTCATGCACTGAAGTTTCTCTCCCTTTCTTTCTCCCTCCCTGCCCCTCTCTCCAAAAGTAAGCAGATAAAAAATATTGTTAAAGGGCAAAATAGAAATTATATATATAAAAAGAAGCACCTTGCGTTGGCTGGTGTGGCTCAGTGTGCTGAGTGCTGATGTGAAAACCAAAGGGTCACTGGTTCGGTTTTCAATCTAGGGCACATGCCTAGGTTGTGGGCCAGGTCCCCAGTAGGGGACAAACAAGAGGCAACCACACATTGATGTTTCTCACCTTCTCTTTCTTCCTCCCTTCCCCTCTGTCTAAAACAAATAAAATCTTTACAAAAATAAAATAAATTTAAAAAAATAAATAGGAATCAGACAAGTACATGTGGGAAGGGGAGAAGTGGAAGTTGTTTCAGGGAGAGAAAACAGCAATTACAAGGCAGGAGAAGTAAGAGGCAACTAGCTGAATGTGTTGGAGAAAATGAAAGAAATTTGGGCCTGGAGAGCAAGAAGTGGGTTAGAGAAGGACCCAAGACACAGCTGGAGAAATATCCAGGAACTAGATGTTGAAGGGTCTAGAAAGCCTCAGTATGGTTTTGGGGTTTTGCTCTGACACCAACAGAATGTCTTTGAGTGTTCAAAGTAGATTTGCTCTTTGTAGAGATTACTTTGAGTGCTCTATAGAGAATCTTTTGGAGACTTCCAGCCAAGATGAAGCTGTAGGTAGACACACTGTGCCTCCTTGCACAACCAAAAGAAGGACAACAACAAATGCAAAAACAAAAATAACCAGAATTGACAGAAAATTGAACTGTATGGAAGTCCAACAACCAAGGAGTTAAAGAGGAAACATTCATCCAGACTGGTAGGAGGGGTGGAAATGGACAGCTGGGCAGGAGAGGACTCACAGCAAGGCAGCGGCTGGAAAACCAGAGCAGGCAAGGTGGTGGCTCGTGGAGCAGGTGGTCCCACATTCTCATGCACATAAATCTGGAGGAATAACTGGGGAGCGAGACAGACCACACAACCCAGGGTTCCAGCACAGGGAAATAGAGCCTCAAAACCTCTAACTGAAAACATCTGTGGGAGTTGAGCTGGCAGCAGGAGAAACTCCCAGCCTCACAGTAAAGTTCAATGGAGAGACACATAGGGTCCTTGAATGTACACAAACTCACCCACATGGGAATCAGCACCAGAAGCACCCAATTTGCTTGTGGGTAACAGAGGAAGTGACTAAAAAAACCAGCAGAGAGCAGAGCAAGCACCATTGCTCCTTCTCAGACCCCTTCCCCAGAACACAGCTATGTGTGTTGCCCTACCCTGGTGAACACCTAAGGATCCACCCCTTACTATACGGTACAGGCACACTGAGACCCAAAAAATGACACAAATGAAAGAATAGATCAGAGTTCCAGAAAAAATACAACTAAGCAACGAAGAGATAGCCAACCTATCAGATGCAGAGTTCAAAACACTGGTAATCAGGATGCTCACAGAAATGGCTGAGTATGGTCGCAAAATAGAGGAAGAAGTGAAGGCTATACAAAGTGAAATAAAGGAGAATATACAGGAAACCAACAGTGAAGAGAAGGAAACCTGGACTCAAATCAAAGATTTGAACCAGAAGGAAGAACTACACTTTTAACCACAACAGAATTAAGAAACAATTCAAAAAAATGAGGAGAGGCTTAGGAACTTCCAGGACAACTTTAAATGTTTCAATATCTGAATCATAGGGGTGCCAGAAAGAGAAGAGGAAGAGCAAGAAATCGAAAACTTATTTGAAAAAATAATGAAGGAAAACTTTCCCAATCTGGCAAAGGAAATAGACTTCCAGGAAATCCAGGAAGCTCAGAGAGTCCTGGAGAAATTGGACCCAAGGAGGAACACACCAAAGCACATCATAATTACATTACCCAAGATTAAAGAGAAGGAGAGAATCTTAAGAGCAGCAAGAGAAAAGGAGACAGTTACTTCCAAAGGAGTGCCCATAAGACTGTCAGCTGATTTCTCCAAAGAAACCTTGCATGCAAGAAGGGGCTGGAAGGAAGTATTCCAAGCCGTGAAAGGCAAGGACCTACATCCAAGATGACTCTATCCAGCAAAGCTATCATTTAGAATGGAAGGACAGATAAAGTGCTTCCCAGGTTGGGTAAAGTTAAAGGAGTTCATCATGGCGAGTAATGGCAACCATACTCAGCCATTTCTGTGAGCATCCTGATTACCAGTGTTTTGAACTATGCATCTGATAGGTTGGCTAAGCCCTTGTTATTCGAAATTTTAAAGGGACTTATCTAAGAAAAAGAAAATTAAAGTATGAACACTAAAATGACAATAAACTCATAGTTATTAACAACCAAACCTAAAACAAAAACAAACTAAGCCAACAACTAAAACAGGAACAGAATCACAGAAATGGAGATCATATGGAAGGTTATCAGTGGGGGAGTGGGTAGGAGAGGGGGGGAAAGGTAGAGAGAATAAGTAGCATACATGATAGGTAGAAAGTGGACAGGGGGAGGTTAAGAATAGTATAGGAAATGTAGAAGCCAAAGAACTTATATGTATGACCCACGGACAAATTAAAGGCGGGGGGAATGCAAGTGGAAGGGACTGTGCAGGGTGGAGGGGAATAAAAGGGGGGGGGAATGGGACAACTGTAATAGCACAATCAGTAAAAAATATTTAATAAAAAAAAAGAACTGGCTTAATATACTTTCCTTAGGCTTCAAAGTTTTGTTTGCAAAGGTGAACAATTAGGGCAGATCTCTGTCGTATTTATTTCTAGGCACAAGTATACAAATGGGAAAGAAAATCATTTGGAGTAATCTTTTTCAATCTTTTTTCTTAATCTCATGGCACACATAAACAATCACTAAATTTCTGTGGCACACCAAAAAATGTATTATATTTTTTGCTGATCTGACAAAAAAATAGGTTTAATTTTTATTCATTCACACCAGGTTGCTATGGTGTTGGCTGTTATTTTTTACTGATTTTTTTTTTTAGGAGAAAGAGAAAACATGGATTTGTTGTTCCACTTATTTGTGCAGTCACTGGTTGCTTCTTGTATACCCCCTTACTGGGCACTGAATTGCAACCTTGGTGTATTGCGTTGCCAGCCAGGGTGGCTATTGTCTTTTTTTTTTTAACACTCTAAGGGAAAAGAGGTCAATGTTCTTGCTTACCAGTTGAAATTCATTGGTGTGTAGGGAAGCAAGAGTGCACACAGACGAACCAGTTTAGGTTAGTATAGACATTACTTCTAGTTCATTTAAACTAGAGAGGGACAGAGTAGATGAAGAATGGGGAATGATTTGAGAGATCCAGTGTTTGGGAAGGTAGAATTCACAGGACTTGATAATGGATTGGATGTGACCGGTGAGGGAGGAATCAGGGATGACTGCCCGGTTTCTGACTTGAAGGAGAGGATGAATGCTTATTGAGAACAACATGGTTGTTCACTGAGCCTGTTAGCATAGGAGGCAGAGTTGTTGGGGCACAGAGAGGTTGGCACAGGAATACCAATATTTAAGAGAAGATGAAGGATAGAGGTAGGATGCAATTTAGGCTGGGCAGGGCTGACAGCACTGGGGACCCAGCTCCTTCTCGTTGTCCACACAGCCAGCTAACTCAGTGAACCAACGAAGGAGGGTAGACCCCACTCTGCACTTAACCAGAGCTCTGCAATTGTCCATTGAGGGCCCGGCGCTGAGCATGCGCTGTTGGGGGAACTCGGCCCTTAGGATCCCCGCGTGCGCTTTGCTGGCAATCCGCGGCATCCCTAAGGCTACTTTTCCCAGCAACCGCCGCCCCTTACTCCCACCTCTTCCGTGTTTTGGTTGCACTGGTTCCCTCAGTCGCAGCGGCCATTGGCTGTTAGAGGGGCACCAGGCAGGCGATTGGCTGTCGCTGATGTCGTTCAAGCATCCTCCGGAAATGGTCTAAAGTGGAAGGAGACCTGGAGAGACTTCGAGCTGGTAAGCTGCAGGTCCGGGCTTGGTGGGTCAGCGTTTGGGCTTGATCCCTGGGCTGGCTTCAAGGCCGGGTTCTTCCTGAGTAGTCTCAGCGAGGCTTCCTTTTGCAGCTCGATCGCGCTGGTCGGCCCATTGCCCGCCGCGTCCCTGGCTCCTTACGCTGACTCGGACGTCCCCGCTTTTCCCTCTGGATCTTCGCTACCACTGCGACTCGGGTCACCGCCATACCTTAGGTAGAAAGAATCCGGGAAGCCTGAGGGGCTGCGAAGAAGAGGTTTTACCTTCCGGGACGGTCTCCTTCCTTCTCTCCTAACTCGACTCGTCCTTCGAGGGGCCGGCAAGCCTTTACATCTTAGCCTGCTCACTGGGATTTCTCCCCTGATTTTTCTCATTGGGTGCTTTGTTTTGGTGGTTGTCTTCGCACATCAGAGTGTTAGCTCTTCAGCCAAATTGTGAGTCTTAAGGAGGTTCAGAACCTGAGGCCCTCCTTATCTTGAGTGCCATTCAGGGTTCATTCGGTACTGGGGGTACTGTGTCTACTCAACTATTTGCTAGTTGCTTGTGAATCCTGATGAAAAGAAGTGTTAAGAATGCCACGGGTTGTCCTTTTGTTGTTTTTTGTAGAACTACTGCTTAGATCATCTCACCTTAAAAAGCGTAAATACGTGTACCTAACACATGTTGAGTTCTAGCTAAGTGTTTTAGACATGTACTACGTGTTAAGTATTTTAATATGTTGTTTTAGTCATAAGTCAATTCAACAAGATAGGCATAATTATTCCCATGCTACATGGGAATCTGAGGCATTTAAAGTTAACATAGTGCTTACCTCATAGGGTGATTAAATGACAATGTAAATAAAGTGTTTAGTGTGGTGCTTGGCATGTAGTAGTATGAAGTTAACAAAAGGTTTTGGTACCTTATTTTGAAACTGATGATTTTCAGGAGAAGATGGGTTAATTGGCTAAAGACACAGCTAATAGGTAGTGGACCCAGGAGTCTTGACTTTGAACTCTGGTTCTTCTCCAAAGCCATCTCTTTGAACCTGGGCTTTGTTATGCCTCCCATGTGAATAATTCCTTGGAACATTGTTCTGAAGCTTTATGAGAAAATGTCTCTTCATGTTCTTAGCTTAGTGCCTGGTACATGCTATAAATAATGTTAGTGTGTGCTCTCCTTTCCCAAAACCAACACACAGTTTCCAGGGTTTTGCAGAACTGTTACTCCATCCTTATTGAAAAAGCAGAGCATTTCTCATGGGTCACTGGAGGAACCTCTGCTGGTTCTAGGTAGGCTGCCTGCCCAGATGTTTACCCCTAGCCACAGTTGGGTGTAATCCATGCAGCTGTGGATTTCTTCCTCCTCTTCTAGGGTGAAGGCCATGCCGCCCCCTGGGAAAGTTCCCCGAAAGGAGAAACTGGGGCTGCAGTGTGAGTGGGGGTCCTGCTCCTCTGTGTGCTCAGCCATGGAGGAGTTCTGTGAGCATGTCACTCAGCACCTGCAGAAGTACTTGCACAGCTCAGAGGAAGAAGAGGAAGAGGAGGAGGATCCCTTGGGTAAGGGAGCAGGATATAGGAAGGGGAAAGAGCCCAAGGGAAGATGGAAAATCTGACTTTCCTTTCTGCAGAGGGAGAATGCAGCCTGGGAGAGTGATGGTTTAATTTCCTAATTGTGCTTTTTTTGCTTATAGAAACATTGTAGGCTCCTTATAGAAAACTCACTTGACAGGGATTTTTAAAATGAATCTGTCAATCTTTCTATCAAAAGGCAATTACTGCCCTGGCTGGTGTAGCTCAGTGGATTGAGCGCGGGCCTGGGAATCAAGCAACCACGGTTCGATTCCCAGTCAGGGCACATGCCTAGGTTGTAGGCCAGTTCCCAGCAGGGGACGCACAAGAGGCAACCATACATTGATATTTCTCTCCCTCTCTCCTTCCCTTCCCCTCTAAAGATAAATAAATAAAATCTTCTTTTTTTAAGTTTAAAAAATACTTGAGAAAATTATTGCCTTTTATTAAACGCTCTCTGAAGTGTTTATTAAAAGAAAAAAAGTGGTTTGCAGTCCCGTAAATTGATCTCACCACCCACTAATAGGTCACAATAAAGTTTGAAAAACTGTTCTATAGAAAGTACAGAGACATCTCTCTTCAAATTCTGCTTAAAGTCTAGTGATTGAACAATATAACTAATAGTTTCAAAAGTAATATTTACACAAAAGAGAAATTAGGGGATTATTCTATTTTAAAAAGTGCTTTTTAAGACAAGTGTGCCCATAAAAAGCATTGAAAATATGGTGCCTAGAGAGAGATTCTAGAGAAATAGGAAGTGGATTGAAATAGTTGATGAGCCTTTCTGGAGAAGACAGATCTTGAGCAGAATATGGGGAAAAGTAGGGTTTGTAGTTAGGTTGGGAGGCAGCATCTTCCTCAGGGAATGGTAGAAACTGGGCCAGGATAGTGCATGCCTGTCATACCTGCTGCCTCTGAGTTCTTGGCACTGGATCTTGCACAGACCACACTTCCCCACCTAGTTTATAGATGCTTGCCCTTAAGATCTTAATGCAGACACTTAAAGACATCTGTCTGCCTCAAATGAATTCTGTTTAATATTTTGTTGTATTTGTGCCCACCCCCCCAACCCCCAACCCCCCCCCCCCCCCCCCGTGATACGACTGCTACAACTGGTTACAGTTTCATATTTATCCATGTGATTATTTGATAGCTTTTTTTTTCTCCCTTGGCTGAAAGCTATGTAAGGGCAGACTGGGACTCTTTACTTGTTACATGGTATTTACTGAATGAACTCCAGGTAATTTGGTCAGAGTCCAGCCTTCTCACTGCTAAGTGCCACAGGTGGAAGGAAAGCTGAACATTAGAAAGTATCACTCTTTTTTTCTAAACCTCTTTCCACAGAGGAAGAATTCTCCTGCTTATGGCAGGAGTGTGGCTTTTGTTCTCTGGACAATTCTGCTGATCTTGTCCGCCATGTTTACTTCCACTGCTACCACACCAAGCTGAAACAGTGGGGGCTGCAGGCCCTGCAGAGCCAGGCTGACCTCAGCCCCTGCATCCTGGACTTCCATAGCCGCAACATCATTCCTGACATCCCTGACCACTTCCTGTGTCTGTGGGAGCACTGTGAGGTCAGCAGGTGGTGCCAGTAATAGGGGTGGGAAAAAGTTGCGAATCTTAACTCAAGATGCCTTGACTCTTTCTACAGTCCCCTGTATTCCCAAGATTCTTGCTAGTACCTCTCCTTTATTTCTGGGTAGCTCCCTTGCTCAAATGTTCCCATCCCCACAAAGTTAATTTGGGAGAGAGCCAAGAAGTCCTTTTTAGACACATAAGTTAAGACTCCCTCCAACCACCCTCAATCCTTACCCCAAGTTGCTCCTGGTACAGAGCTCCTTCGACAATCCTGAGTGGTTCTATCGGCATGTGGAAGCACACAGCATGTGCTGTGAATACAAAGCAGTTGGTAAAGACAACCACGTGGTGCTGTGTGGCTGGAAAGGTAGGACCACTCCTTAATTTCTGACCTCTAAAGAAACCCTGGTATTGCTGAGGGGCTAGAGCAGCTAGGAATGGGGCCTGTGGGGCAAAGCTGACTGCTGTCTAGAGACACTTGGGGTTACCAGAACCTACTCTGTGAGTTTGTTGCTGAAGTATAACTGGGTCTCCTTCCCAGGTTGTACCTGTACCTTCAAGGACCACTGTAAGCTTCGTGAGCATCTGCGTAGCCATACCCAGGAGAAGGTGGTAGCTTGCCCAACGTGCGGGGGCATGTTTGCCAACAACACCAAGTTCTTAGATCACATCCGTCGCCAGACCTCATTGGATCGTAAGTTGTCAGAAGAAGGGGAATGGGTGCAGGCTGTTCTGGTTGGGGGCATATTTCCAGGGAGGGGCCCACTGAAGGTACCTGCAGCTTGGCTATGTCTACCTTTAGGGCTCAGTCATCTGCCACAGTCTTTGCTGACTCAGATTTATGAGACATTATTATTCAGGGCTTACCATGTGCCCTATCAGTTATCTCAGTGAATCCTTACAACAACCCCATGAGGTAGGCTTGTTATCCCCCTTTTTGCAGATGATGAAACTAAGACTCAAGAGAGCTTAAAATCACTTACTTGAGACCACACAGATAATAAGTGATCGAGCTGGGATTCTAATTCAGTTCTCAGTGCCAAGTCCTATACTCTTTCCTTTGTAATATGTCCATCCATAATTCACTAAACTGCCCTTGTTTCCTTGGGTGGTTCCCCTCTCTGGGACTCCTTCTTTCTATCCTCCATCCTGCACAATCCACCCTTTCTTTTGCCTGTCCTGCTCCAGAGCAGCGCTTCCAGTGCTCTCACTGTTCCAAGAGATTTGCCACTGAGAGGCTTTTGCGGGACCACATGCGTAACCATGGTGAGTAGCTGGCTGCCACCAAACTCCCAGCCCGCCCTCCAAGGTTCCACTGGCCCTCAAATCACAGCCTCCTCTCTGCTTCTCCCAGTGAATCACTATAAGTGCCCTCTGTGTGATATGACCTGTCCACTGCCATCCTCCCTCCGTAACCACATGCGCTTTCGCCACAGTGAGGACCGGCCCTTTAAATGTGACTGTTGTGACTACAGGTAAGGGGAACTGGGGGCCAGAAATCACAGACCTCATGTTCTAGGGTACCTCATGCGCTCCAACCCCTCCTGACCTCTCCTGGCAGCTGCAAGAATCTAATTGACCTCCGGAAGCACCTGGATACCCACAGCAAGGAGCCAGCCTATAGGTGTGATTTTGAGAACTGCAGCTTCAGTGCCAGAGCTCTCTGCTCTATCAAGTCCCATTACCGAAAAGTGCATGAAGTGAGTGGAGCTTGTGGTGGGAAAGGGCTAGCAGAAGTGTGGGGGAGCCAGGGTGAAAAGCTGACCTCACTCTTCCTCCCCTCTCCATCAGGGCTACTCAGAGCCAAGGTACAAATGTCATGTGTGTGACAAATGTTTCACAAGGGGCAATAACCTCACTGTGCATCTTCGCAAGAAGCACCAGTTTAAGTGGCCCTCAGGGCACCCCCGTTTTCGGTATGTCTCAACTCTCCCTCCCCATCACACCCCCCCCACATTTGTAAATGTTTAGATTTACAAAACATTTTTATCCATATTATTTCAACAAGTTAAAATCATTGAATTTGATAGTGCTTTGATGTCTCATCTCCTTTTAGGCTCAAGGAACTTCAAGAATAGCAGTGGGGCAAAGATTGGTTTTCTAATTTGTTAATCCAAGGCACAGTATCAAATCAAATTAATGGTGTCCAAAGTCCTGCAGCCAAAACTAGAAGTAGAGCCTACAGGTCCAGGTCCATAGCCCTCTGACCCCCACCTTCCACAAGTAATTTCTTTCCCCTTCCTCTCTCACTTCCCTCTCTGGTTTCTACATAAAAATTTCCATTTTGAGTAGTGATTCTTTCCCCTTCATATTCTGATAAAAATCTTTTTTGTCTTCAACTCCCATCACTTAGAATCCCAGGCCTTCTTCTACTCCTTATATTTGTTTCTTACTTTGCCAAGCTGCAGGCCATTCCTGCAGCCCCCTGCCCACGTTTGCTACCTTTGCTCTTCTACTTCACCAGGTACAAGGAGCATGAAGATGGCTATATGCGACTGCAGCTAGTTCGCTATGAAAGTGTAGAGCTGACACAGCAACTTCTACAGCAACCACAAGAGGGATCGGGCCTTGGAGCATCACTGAATGAGAACAGTCTGCAGAGCATCATTCTAGAAACAGTGCCAGGGGAGTCAGGGCCCCAGGAAGAGGCTGAAGAGGAAGAGGAAGGCAGAGGTGGTAAGGGGACAGCCCTCTCAACCTCTCAGGACACCTCAAGTCCCATCATCCATGTGGTGAATCAGACCAGTGCCCAAGAGATTGTCTACTATGTGCTATCTGAAGCCCTGGGAGAGTCCCCCCCAAGCCCCTAAGTCCCCCTCAGGGTGCATCATGGAAAAGCTTTAGGGAATAGCTGAGGAGCCAGAAGTCCAGATGGTATGAAGGTGGTAGAGCCTGACCATTATTAACCCAGATTCTAGGGTTTCACCCAGGCTGGTAGCAGTGCCCCTTTGGACAACCCTTGCCAATGGATGCCTTTTGGAGTGGTGCTGAGAGCAGTGTGATCCACTCTGAATCCAGCTTGCATGTTAGCGGACTCTAAGGACTTTCCTTTTCTGCCAGTCCACATTTTGGAGTCTTGAGGAGTTTTCATTAGAGATACATTAGAGATAACTAGGGATACCCTAGTTGTGTGTTCTTGTAGAGAGAACTAGTATTGGGCTTAATCATAACCCCTAGAAATGCTGGAACAGTGATTAAAGTCCGTAGTCAACTTGCATCCATTCTCATCTTTAGGGTTTCTCAAGCCCAGGGATGACATGTAACTAGTCCCTGCAATGGCCCTTTCATCATAGCCAGCCAAGGCATTGTGAACCAGGCACTCATTTCCCTCCAAAGGGTTTCTCCTACAACCTAATGACTTCCATATTATCCTCAGGGATGAGGCTGGAGGCACTGAGTGTGTATAGCACTTGTTTTTGGTAATAAAAGAAATGCTTCTGCTGTTACTCATTTCTTCTTCCTTATGTTTGGTGGCTGTTAACGATGTAATGAAATATAGCCACCCAGAAGAGAACTGAATAGTTAGGCTTGTACCCCTTTCAGTGGCTAGGGTTGTTTTCTGTTTTTTAACTGTCTTGTTTCCTGCTCACCTTCCCCTCCTTTAGTGAAACCTTCATTTCTTTTCAGCATCTACCATCTCTCTGGGAGTCTTAGGCATAGGTCATGAGTTTGCTTTAGCAGCACTCTAGAATGGATGAATGGGGCTAACCAGGAAAATACAGCACCAGACCTTGCCTACACTCTGTGAGTTCTGATTAGAACCCAGTGCCTCTGTGTTAGGGCGTTCTTTACCTATGGGACTAGGAAGGAAGCTGGCAATGGAAGGTGGATTTGGATGCCCTAGATACTGGTAGGTACTTGGGGTCAAGGAACCAAGGTAGGAAATTGTGAGCGTGAGTGCATTTTCCTGGAGAAAGGGTCTGGTTTTCATTAAATTCTCAAAAAGAGTTTGAAACCCTCCAAAATAAGAATTGGGTCTGTCCAACCACTTCATAATAACCTGTGTCCATTCTTAGGGTCTCTGCTGCTCTGGAGAGGTCAAGAAGATATTCTCAGGTAGCTCTAATTTCTGGGCCTTTTTTAAAGACCCAAGTTTAATTTTTTTTTTAATCAATGTATGGTTGCTTCTTGTGCATCCCCTGCTGGGAACTGGCCCCTGCTAGGAATGGCCTGCAACCCAGGCATGTGCCCTGATGGGGAATTGAACCACAGTCCTTTGGTTTGCATGCTCGTGCTCAATCCACTGAGCTACACCAGCCAGGGCCCAAGTTTAATTTTTATAACAAAAACTGTGCCCATTACAGAGGGAAATTTACAAAGAAAATACTCTTCATTCCATCAGCTGTTCACTGAGTTCCTGCTATGCTCCAGGCACTGTGACAGGTGCTAAATGAATAAAACCAGGACCTGCTCTGGAGTTACTTGCAGTATAGAGGCAAGGAAAGATCTAAATAAGTAGAATGATAGAAGCCTATCAGGGTTTATTTAAAAGGCTCAAAATAGCCCTGACTGGGTAGCTCGGAGTGTGGCCCTGATAAAACAAGGTAGCAGGTTCAATACAAGAATCAATCAGTGAATGCATAAATAAGTGGAACAACAAATTGATGTTTCTCTCTCTCTCTCTAAAATCAATAAAAACAACAAAAGAAACAATAATAATAAAAGGCTCAAAATACAAGTAGACAGTATTATGTGGGCAAGGGATCAGGAAAGGATTTATCAAGGAAGTGATTACAGCTACCATTCCAAAGAAGTGGGCATGTTATTCCTGGTGTAAGAAACTAGGTCTGTAAGCAAACCTAAAGGGGTACTTTATGGTTCGTAGCAAAGAGGACAGCAGGCCATGAAGAGACAGGACTGGAAAGGAAGGCAGGACCACCCAAAAGAATCATGTAAAGTTTTAGAGTAGTGATTTCTGGTAATGATGGGGAATACATTGGGTTTGCCCAAAAGTCTGTTTAATTTTTTTCTACAAAATAAAAGACACATTTTTCATTTTCACCAGTAATAATTCATTTGGGTATTTTGAGTATGTTGGCTGTCTCCTGCCATTGACTTCTAGTGTATAGAGAAAAGGGGTGCTGCTAAACATCTAATGCGTAAGACAGCCCCACAACAAAGAATTATTTGGCTAAAATGTCAGTAGTACCAAGAAACTTGACAAACCACTTTTTCCATGTTCAATCAGACACAGCATCTTCTCCATGTACTGCACAAATTTTTTTTTTGCATTTAAGTTGTGTATTTTCCCTCTTGAAATAATAAAGCACAATATCCCAAAAATGTTGTATATTTTCTTCCATCTGCATATCAAAATGGCTGCACAAAAGCTCAACCAATTTTTGTTTTTTAAATGCACCTTGATATGACAGCTGTCAGAATACAGTCTAACAAAATTGTGCCTAATGAAGTTAAAGACAGCTAAACACTACTAGAGCCATCCTGTGGAAAAAAACTAAACAAACTTTGGCCAACCCAATAAATTGGAAGAGTGAGACTGCAAGCAGATACAAGTTAGAGTGCTGCTGCTGGAATTCAGGCAAAAAATAACAAGGATTTTCAAGTTACAGCAATGAAATAAAAAAAAAATAAAACAGTGTTGATGTCTGCTTTGTGTCTTCAATAACCCCTTCATGAAATGGCAATATGGAAGAGAGAGACTACAGGAATTGAAAGTTTCCACAAGCAAAGCCACTACATTTCCAGGCTCTAGGATCCTGTACTAAATTTGTCTCCACACCCTGTCCCTCTACTAAATGAGTTTAATTCCTATCCTTTCACCAGGATAACCGAGGTGCTTTGGGGCTGAATACCCTGTTTTATTTGTGCCTCCTGTCATGTACTTTGGGGTTCCTTCCTCACCCCCACCTCCTCTGGGCCTGTGTTTTTGGTGGTTACTACACCATTTTCTAAACTTACTGTGAATCACTGTCCTCTGGAACCCCTAAATTTTCCATGTTTTGCTATTGCCCAACCCATACTCCTTCACTTTGTAATATGTATGTAGTTGACACTTTGGACCTAATAGGCCCTCATGTTTGTCCCTGTTAAATTTTGCCTTGTTCAACATGACATCTGTTTCCAAGTGGTAGGTTAAGAGGTTGAATAGAACAAGGCCAAAGAGAGACCCCAAAGGTAATGCACTTGAAGACCTAACCAAGGCCAGATGGAGATTTTAAAGGCTATAAACCCTAAAAAGACTGGTGCCCATTCCATATATAACTAAAAAATGGAAATATGAAACAAGGGAGTCAAACATGATTATGCTTTTAAAAATATTTTTTACCCTGACCAGTGTGGTTCGGTTGAGCATAATCCTGCAAGGTGAAAGGTTGCTGGTTCAATTCCTGGTCAGGGCACATGCCTGGGTTGTGGGTTTGGTCCCCTGTTGGGGCAATAGGCAGTTAATTGATGTTCCCCTCTCTCTAAAAAATAAATATATAAAAATATATGTCAAAATCTGATCTTAATTTTTTGCTTTTAATTTTGGTGCCTTTGTTTTACTTATGCTCTAAGTATTGACTTGGGCTACCCCTTGAGTCAATAATCGACTTACTGGTGCCATCCATTCATTAGTTGAGCAATGCCCTTCAGGCTTAGGCCTACACCCTATGAAGAGGGCCTTCCCTATCAGTCTTGAGTCATGCCCACACCAGCTGTGTTTGGACTGTGAGATTCTGGTCTGCTAATGTGATGCCAGTTCTCTAGGAGGAGGGGATCCTGGGGTCAGCATGTATGGATTAGATAGCACTGGACCAGGAGTGAGGGGTTATTTAGTCCAAGCAGCCACAGACCTGTTGAAGGATATGAGGCTGGTGGTGGGTGGGAACAGACCTCTGAAGGGAGGAAGGTAACAATACTAATTTGACTGCCTTAGTTTAACTAAGTTTCATTGAGAGTCAGACCATGAGTCAGATCAGACATCTAAAAATTGAAACACCTTGTCTTTCTTCAAGGAGTGGGAATAGAAAGAGAATGCAGGTGGCCCATGAGTGTGGAAGCTAATGCTGCTTTTCTGTGACTTGGGGCAAGTCCACAACCTCAGAGTGCAGAATTGCTGAGTGGATATGAAAGAAATGATTGTCTGAAATGAGAAAAAGGAATGGGTATGGGGAACAAAATTTCTGTAAGATTATGACCTAGTGAATATAGGTGCTCAATGGCTGGTAAATGGATGAAAGAATTTTGCTCAAGATCTGGAATCCCATGGTGTACTTTGGGAATGAGGAGCATACCCATTTCATGTATAGTACCAGAGGGAGTTGAGGCTGACAGGGAAGGTTGGGGGAGAGTAAAAATGCCATACCATTCTAAATAGCTTGAACTTTTTGACTGGATAAGGAATGTGGAGAACAGATAGGTGCATGTAATTTGGAAAGGAATAAGAGACCCCTTTTACTAGAGGGAAGGAGAGATGGATGGGAGTGGATGAGGATTTACTTTGTAGAAAGTAAGGCATTAAGGTGGTTTCATGCCTACTGGTCTCTATTTCCTTGATAAAGTAGAATTTAAGGTTATTGAGGCACAATTTATTGGATTAAGAAGATTTATAAGAATTGGTGTGGCTCAGTGGATTGAGTGCCGGCCTGGGAACCAAAGGGTTGCTGGTTCAATTCCGAGTCAGGGCACATGCCTGGGTTGCATTCCAGGACTTCATTTGGGGACATGTGAGAGGCAAGCACACATCAATGTTTCTCTCCCTTTCTTTCTTTCTCCCTCCCTCTGCCTTGCTATATAAAGTAAGTGAAATCTTTAAAAAAAGATCTGTCAAATTTTTTAAATGCCATTAATAGATATAAGAGTGAGATAGGTGGCCTGACAGCCCAGATGACGTTGAAGATCAAGATCAGGCACAACCAGACACTTTTGTAGCAGATACCAGCACCTCTGGAGCAAGAGCAGAAGACAGACCATTAGGTTGATGGACCACTGGATTGATGGACCACTGGGTTGGTCCACAACTGTGGCCTGAGAGCCAGGACATGGATTACTTAGGGCCAAGGAACAGGGTAATTAGAGCAGCTGGAAAACAATCGTGAGATTCAAGTTGGACTAGAGGCCTTGGGAGACTAGAAGATAGTAGTTAGAATCAAAGCACTGAAGGTTCCAGTGATACTTCTGAAGACTGGAGGGCAGAAGTGAAAGGTTGTGGTCAGAAAGGACATTTTAAATTTTTTTAGTTTTTTTTTTAAATGTATTGTTCAGTTACAGTCGTCCCATCTTTTTCCCCATTGCTCATCCCTACCTCATCCCCCGCACTTCCATAGTCGATCCCCCCCCACCAGTTGTCTGCCCAAGAGTCCTCCATTTGTGTTCCTTTGCTTGCCCCATCCCCTTCTTTCCCCCATTACCCCTCTCCTTCTCCCCTCTGGTCACTGTCAGCTTGTTCTTTATTTCCAAGTCTCTGGTTCTATTTTGCTTATTTGTTTGTTTTGTCAATTAGGTT